GGAAAATGTGGATCTTTCGAGTTCTCCCTTGGGGTGTGCCCGACGGATACCGTTCATTGTAGCTTGCTTTCGAGGTGCTTAGTGTCTGGTGGAAGACGAGCGCCTCCGTAAGTGTGTTATTTCGGACGGTTCTGCCACAGTATATCGCCATAATGTTTCTCCGAGCTGTTTTCTCCATGTTTACTCTCCAAATGATTTTCTTTCATGTATACCATCTTAAAGATGACATACAGCTAAGTCTAAGGCTAACCCCCAAATAGTCTTGTTGACGCTTGGATGTCCCCAGAGACGGCCCTATCTCTGGCTCCTCCCTACACGTGCACGAGCGCCTGCCCTTTACGTTATGGGTGGTCGGCAGCGTCTCCTTAGCAATGCTTTGTTCTTCCTACATGCACACGGGCTCCGCGCTTTGCATTATGGTGACTCCTTGGTGCTCAGACATCGCCAGCTACGTCGGGGACTCCTCGGTGCTCGGACATACTCCTTAGTGTTCGGATTCTTCGTGCAAGCATCGCCAGTTAAGCTGAGGACTCTCTTGGTGGTCGGATCTTGCTATGTCTCATCGGTGTGCTATCAAGCTACTCCATGCTGTTCGGATCAGGGTGCTGATCTTGGGCAGCACGTTTGGGGTCTTGATACGCGCATATCAGATGACGTCGGCAAGCTTTCAGACTTCTTTTCTTTGACACTGCTACAAGATTCATTCTTCATCTTCCAGCAGGCTCAGGAACTAAGTGGCTACACTTCACCTGACGGTGAATGTAGTGCTTATTTCTTGAGTTACCCTCCTTATTGATGGAGTCTAAGTGGCTACACTTCTCCTAGATGGAAGAATTTTCAAATTTTATCTTGAGCCCCTTACATCCTTCTAGCAAGCCTTACTTGGCTAAGTCCGAGGTCTCCTAACCAGTTAAACTGGTTGGCTTCGACTTTCACTGCCTAGGACACCAGTTAAACTGGTCGGCTTTGACTTCCACCGCTTGGATCACCAGTTAAACTGGTCGGCTTCACGTCAAAGTGCTCGAACTTGTTCAAGATAGCGTTGCTCAAAGGATACAAGGCGCTCGGGGACTAGCTGTGGGAGATATGACCCCTGATATCCATAAGACAAGACATGAGCTGCACCATCAGAGGTGGCCCATCCCACAAGATCAAGGTGTGCATAGCACTGGTCGACGTGCACCGCAAGATATTGTATAATACCAAATAGGATACTTTCCTTATAACTCTATCCCTCCAGACTATATAAGGAAAGGCAGGGGTCCCCTAGTCGACATCTACATGTATCTCATATTCAATACAATACAACAAAGACACAGGGCGTAGGGTATTATGTCGATTAGATGGCCTGAACCTGTCTAAATCGCTGTCTTTGCGCCTTGTGTTACCATCCGGTTCCGTATCACGCGCACCCCCACCGATTCATCTACTACCATGGGTATACCCCTCGGTAGACTGCCGACCAGATTTCGTCAACAGCGACGGGCGATGCTGGAGGAGATAAAAGCGATCGAGGAAAAGGAGACCTAGGAGCTCGTCGATCCACCTCCAGGATGTCATCCGATTGGCATGAAGTGGGTGTACAAGGTCAAGCGGGACGAGCGCGGCGCCATTGTCAAGCACAAGGCACGACTCATCGCCCGAGGCTTTGTCCAACGTGAGGGCATCGACTTTGAGAAAGTCTTTGAGCCAGTAGCGCGCACAGAGTCTGTCCGACTGCTTCTGGCTTTGGCAGCAGCAAAGGACTGGTGCGTCCATCATCTTGACGTAAAATCGGTCTTCCTCAACGGCGAGCTGGTGGAGACGATCTTCGTCAGGCAACCTCCGGGTTTCACCGTCAAGGGAGCGGAGCACAGGGTCAATTTGAATGAGCTGGACGAAAAAAAAAGAGCCAGAAATTTTACCTCTTTATTATTATACTAGCAAATCTTGCAACGGGAAACGCAAGTTATTATACGGTGCTCATGCTAATGAGAATGAAATAGCTTTTTTATTAGATTTAATTGAGATTGACCTAATTTTAAATTAAAAAGTTGAGACCTATAATAGATGCTAAAGCAACGAAAGATTAATGACATTTGACAAACTGACAAGAGATTAGCTCAATTTAAATAAAATGGCTATTGTGTTGTGATCTAAGAAAGGTGGGAGCCTAGAATATGAGATACACGTCCATGTGCACGCCTGGGTGAGACATGATATGAGTGGTTTTGTAGTCTACTCTAAATATTACGTGTTATAGATACTATATAGATATAGAAATCATGGAAAGGGTAGCTAGTTCTGCATGCATTTTGCCGTCAACTTTCACCTTTTATTTTTGTTTTTGTTTATAATCAGGTGTAGATTCCTAGTGGCTTCACAAATTTTAGTGGGACCCACGGACTAGATGTTGATCCCTTTTCATTTTGCAATTTGCACGCCAAGACGCAAGAGCCACGTACTGACAGCGGTGAGCTTGTGCAGACATTATTGCTCGCAAGCAGCGTGACGGGCCCGGTCCTTATGGCGGGGTCCTTATGTGCACATATTTGCAGTCAAGCAACCGCCCACAAAATAGGTTGGAGCACGACATCTCTTACTTCACTGGAGTCGGACAGGTCCAATCGTCGGCTTGATTTTTTTTGTTCCTAAAACTTTGCCCTTGTTTAGTTTCCTTGATTCCAGAATTTGGAACTATGCAAAAAGAAGATTTCTCGTCACATCAAATTTATGGTACATGCATGGAGTACTAAATGTTGACGAAATTAAAAATTAATTACACAGTTTAGTTGTACTTTACGAGACAAACGTTTTGAGTCTAATTAGTCAACGATTGGACAATTATTACCAAATAAAAACAAAATACTACAGTAGCTACAGTGTATGCCGAATTTTGGCGGCGCCGATTCAGCGGGTGAACTAAACAGGCACTTTTATGTGTAATAAGTAGTAGTGCTTTGTCTTCTCAATTTCAATTCGTTTTGGATTCTATTTAAACCTTTTAACCATGATTCACCAGTGGAGGAGGTCAACGGGTGCAGTATGGTTAGTCATGACTGCTATTTATATGAGTCTTTTTCCCGTGTCATTATACAATAACAACAACAAAGTATTTTACTCCCAAGCAAGTTGGGGTAGGCTAGAGTTGAAACCCAATATGAGCCTCCTAGTCACGGTTTCAAATTTAATAAATTTTATGTGCCATTAAAAAAGTTGATCGGACACCGATACCTTTTTTTTTATTGCTCTCCTCACTACTTCGTTCATTTTTATCTCTAACGATATCAATAAAGGTGGATGAAATGACAATTTTGCCACCAATTCAGTTAAAGTACTAATTTTCTTTTCTCCTCTAGTGCCAATTGTCGTTATGGTGCCAAAATTAAATAAATTATTTTATCAAGACCAATTTAATTGGTATTCAAATTATTTGCAATAATTGGTCCAAAAAATTAATAAATATTTTTAATAATTTCTTTTTATCAGCGGCTGTGGTGACAAACTAAGATGGGTTGTACAATTCTACTTGTAAATGGAAATTGGTCCTATTTTTTCTTTTTATGTTTTCTCCTTTATTTATGCTCTTTCTTTTTAGGGCCGTAGAGAGTTACAACTGTGACAAAAATAGCTCCAGCTTTGGCTTATGTGGTGGAGTAGATTCTCTGGTGAAGTTTCAGTTTTGAAGAAAAAAACGTTTGGTAAAACAGCTTTATCAACTGTTGATAGTGTCGTTCTATTTTTTTTTCTATTTTCCTTTTTTTCTTATTTTTTCTTTCTTTTCTATTATTTTTCCTACCTTATCCGTCACTCGTGTCAAACCAGTACGCGACCCTCGCAAGTCGTGTCTCTTCTCCTACCTCTGGACGCCGCGCACTCAACCCGCCACCGCTCGTGCCTGGGGCTGCGCCTGGCAATAGGCCGCTGGCAGCGCCGCGCCCTCCCTCGCGCCCCCTTCTGTCACGCACCTCTCCGCGCCCCTCTATGCCACAGTGTTGTGCCGTCGTCAATTTAATTGGTATTCAAATTATTTGCAATAATTGGTCCAAAATTTTAATAAATATTTTTAATAATTTCTTTTTATCAGCGGCTGTGGTGACAAACTAAGATGGGTTGTACAATTCTATTTGTAAATGGAAATTTGTCCTATTTTTTTCTTTTTATGTTTTCTCCTTTATTTATGCTCTTTCTTTTTAGGGCCGTAGAGAGTTACAACCGTGACAAAAAATAACTCCAGCTTTGGCTTCTGTGGTGGAGTAGATTCTCTGGTGAAGCTGAAGCAGTTTTGAAAAAAACGTTTGGTAAAACAGCTTTATCAGACTGTTGATAGCGTTGTTCTGTTTTTTTTTTCTATTTTCCTCCTTTTTTTCTTTTCTTTCTTATTTTTTCTTTTTTTCTATTATTTTTCCTACCTTATCCGTCACTCGTGTCAAACCAGTACGCGACCCTTGCGAGTCGCGTCTCTTCTCCTACCTCTAGACGCCGCGTGCTCATCCCGCCACCGCCCGTGCCTGGGGCTGCGCCTGGCAATGGGCCGCCGGCAGCGCCGCACCCTCCCTCGCGCCCCCTTCCGTCACGCACCTCTCCGCGCCCCTCTATGCCACAGTGTTGTGCCACCGTCAATTTAATTGGTATTCATATTATTTACAATAATTGTCCCAAAGATTTAATAATTTTTTTTAATAATTTCTTTTTATCAGCGGCTGTGGTGACAAACTAAGATGGGTTGTACAATTCTATTTGTAAATGAAAATTTGTCCTATTTTTTTCTTTTTATGTTTTCTCCTTTATTTATGCTCTTTCTTTTTAGGGCCGTAGAGAGTTACAACTGTGCCAAAAATAGCTTCAGGGTAAAACAGCTTTATCAGACTGTTGATAGTGCCGTTCTGTGTTTTTTTTCTATTTTCCTCTTTTTTATTTTCTTTCTTATTTTTTCTTTCTTTTCTATTATTTTTCCAACCTTATCCGTCACTGGTGTCAAACCAGTACGCGACCCTCGCGAGTAGCGTCTCTTCTCCTACCTCTGGACGCCGCGCGCTCATCCCGCCACCGCCCGCGCCTGGGGCTGCGCCCGGCAATGGGCCGCCGGCAGCGCCGCGCCCTCCCTCGCGCCCCCTTCCGTCACGCACCTCTCCGCGCCCCTCTATGCCACAGTGCTGTGCCGCCATCGCCTCACGCCGCGCTGTTGGTCCTGCCCACGCTCATGCCTCCAGGGCAAAAAGGAGAACGTCCAGGCGCTTCCAAGATCTCCCGCCCCGCGCCGCTGTCCGCCCAGTGGTTGCCCGACGCTCGCCCCGCCTCTGTCTATAGATCCCCTCCTCCGCCGCCGCCGTCTTGCTCGACACGGGTGCCAAGATCCGCCCCACCTTCGCTGTGCGACGAGCTGTTCCACCTCCGATCCACGCACGAGGCGTCCAAAAACACCATGGTGGGCTTCGGTGAGGGAGGTGCCGCTACGCAGCGCTCGTCCGCTTTGTGTGTACTTCGGACGTATGAGTCGATTGGGGCGCCGCTGTTTCTTTTTCTATTGTTGTTGGCGCAGACGAAGCAAGCAGGGAAGCCAGAGCCAGAGTTTACCGAGCCAGTTTAGGCTAACCTGAAGTGACTAGAAATTTTGCATCTTTAGTATTAGGGATAAAAAAAGAAGAGAAGAAGAAGATAGATATATTATGTCTAAATACGTATTAAAACAAATATATTTTAAAAAAATAAAACATGTTATAATTTAAAATAGAGAGAGCACCTCACAAGCTGAGGGCAAAGACAGGGAGTCGCGTTCGCGTGGAGACTTGGAGTTGCAAGCGCCGGGCCTTGATAATATGGGCTCAAATGCTCAATAGAATGTGGGCTTGATAAAATAATAGAGGCAAGGTGGGCTAGAGTCTAGCATAGCCTCAACGTAGCTCCGCCGGTAGTTGAAAGTTGAGTCCTTCAAATTCAAGGTCAATAAAACCTAGATCAAAATACTAGAATCTTTTTGAGAATAAATTCTTGAACCTGTTGTATTACACATGTGAGCCATGTGTCCGTGACCTTTCGAAAATAAAGTTGAAATCTAATCCACCTAGTTGATAGTTATCTTTTTTTAATCATCTCCTGATTATCTTTTTTTAGTTCGTACCGCTCTTTCTCTCTAAATCGCATCAAACAATAGAGAAAACAAATGAGTTCCTCTTCCCTACGACAAATACTCATTCCTATTTATTAATAGAAAGATCTTCGTCACGGTCTCATGAACTTACGAATAAAGCTAACAAGTAAGCTGAATGGTAAAAAGAAAAAGGACAAGGGAAGTAGGCTGAATGGGAAAAAAATGAAAAGGCTGCTGGTTTAGTATGCTACTATGGGTCTGTTGGATCCCAGGGCTAATAATTAGCCACCTTGTGAAAATAGATTAAATATGAGCTAATTCTAGGCTAATAAGGGCTAATGAACTATCACCACTTAGCTCTCATTAGCTCTTATTCGTCCAAAATAGCCCACATTTAAGCTTTCTAATTGGTATAAAAAACAGGAGCTAATTATTAGCTCCTTGGTCCAAACACCCCCTAAAGGTTTGGTGTTTTTTGTTGTTGTCGTGAATGCTTGGATATCGCCAATACGGCCTCTATGGTTTTCATTACCGAGATATCTTTTCTTTTATACCAAAGGATTTTTTTGGGGTGTCTATTTTGTGTCAAACTTTAGTAGGCTACTATGTGCTTCTTGACAAGCAGATATTGGTACTGCTTTCAAGATTTTTTTTATCAACTTCACCCACCTAATGATCTTAAAATCAATAAAAATTTTCTTTGTCTAAAAACCTGCGAAGTGACTCGGTGAGGGATGGAGGAAGACAATAATCCCCCATTGTGTTTCTTTGTTTAACGTAATAATAATACTAAATCACTCTGCAAGTCACTATTTAACGTAATAATACTAAGTCACTCTGCAAGTCACTATAAATCAGGTACAGCAATGTGTGGCTTTGCATGGAACCATACGCCCATAACCAACTTGAATTAGCTTAATTTCAAACAGATTTAAGTCCTGCCCAAAAGAAATGAAGTCGGTAATCCTGCTATGACTTCAGATTGTTCCACCCCTAACACAAACGAATTATCCAGTAGCCTATATAGCCTATAGAACGATGCAAAGAAGAGGTTTCGGCATGAAACAGGAATCCATCTAGTCCCCGTACTACATAAACATTCAAGCTGACAAAAACATTCGACACCAGAAGTCCAAATATCCAACACTATATAATCCGGTTCATGCATCAGGCGCTGCATTTAGACGAACAAACCAAGACATACAGAAAAAAAAATGCATATGTTGGGCAGACAAAGTAACAGGCTAACAGCTCATGAAACCATCTCCTCCATAATGCAATGTAGCCTAGTTACCATCCCAGCAATGTAGCCTCAAAGGGATGCAATGACAGCGTCATTGGTAACACTTTCAAATATGTCACGCTCCAGGAACAACAATAAGCAGTCACTGATCCACTGGTTGCAAGGTTCTTCCTGCATCGTGCTATCTATGAACTTAATCGCAGAGGATGCTGTCTTGGCGGTGGCCGGTGTCCCAGGAAGGATGAGAGCAAGCTTTAGAAGCAGATATACCAGAGGATACACGGTGGACTTGCCTGTCTCCACCATCTTAACTGAAAGTTCACTGAGAGCACTCATTTCACGAAACCTAATATCAGAGCACATGTCTGCTACAAAGGCTTCAAGTTGCCGATCAAGTGTTGCTATGTCAGAATCAGAGAAGTCGGATGGGTAGAGCCGAGTGTTAGCAAATCTACTGTCATCTGTGTGAAACACAGCAGAGAAAGGCGGCGCCGACTTTGCCCCCTGCTATAATACTGTAGCCGCTGCAGGTGCAGGCGCCGCACGGTTCACCTGCAGCACTGTAGGCACATGCAGTGGCCGGCGCAGAGTCAGCCATGTATGCTTATCTAGTTAATGTTACAGCATGTGCGCTGTACTTTAGTTAGATAGATAGAGTTGTATAAATAGGGCACCAAGGCAACTCAGTAAAGAGAGCTCAGATTTGCCATCACACAGACAGGGCCTCGACCAACGCTGTTGTCTTGTATTGTGCGTACTTGCTCTGTTCTCCCTTCTTTTTCTAGCTCAATCCATAGTGTGTGGGTACGGACACAACCGGTATAGTGGTCTGGGAGACTAGTGGTCTAGTCTGAGAGACTAGTAGTCTGGGAGACTAGTGTTCTGGTCTGAGAGACTAGTGGTCTGGGAAACTAGCGGTCTGGAGACTAGTTCACTATTGTCAGACGATGATCCCGTGGGCTAACACCGAGCATACTCGAGAAGCTTCTCCTTGTCAAAAGCTTGGAAAGCATTCTGTGGATTTAAGCACGATGAAAGAACAAACAACGAAGAGCTTTGCTTGCTGAAACGCTTGTCAAACTCGTTGAGGTGAATATTGATAACCTTTTCGAAGAAATCAATATGGTAGTGCTCCAGGTTTGTCATCGTTGGAGCATTGCCCCTCAATCTCGGCCGGGGTTCAAATTTGGTTCCCATATTGGGCATGGGGAATTCATTTTCACTGCAAAACAAGCCGACTTTGTTGAGGAAGGATGTCCATCCTTCATCCCTCATTACCTGCAGCTGCTTCTTGGCCTCCTGGAGGAGAGCCATACAGTTCTCTGCGTCCACATATTTCCTGTCCAAGGCCAGTGAAAGCTCATTTGTAACACCCAGTACATCTTGCATCAAAAGCAAGCCAAAGGCAAAGTCATAGGACAATCCTTTAAGTACTTTGTATGCCAGATATGTCTGATCATGGTCTTTCACTTCTTCACTCACAAAGTAAAGTGCATCACAAATTGGATAAAAAATAAGCAGCAAATTTCACGAGTGCCTCATAATATGAACCCCAGCTTGTTTCACCAGGTTTCTTAAGATCACTGGCCAGGTGCCACCCTCTCTCTTGTATTAGCGAACAAACCTTTTCTGTGAACTGGGGACAGTCTTTGATTAGATTTGACAGTGCATCGACAGTTTGGAAGAGCTCATAAACTTTAAACTGACCATAGGAAGAATGTACAAGAGAAGAATGCAGCTGGCAGAGATAAGGATGAACGTAGTACTCCAATCCATTCTCGTTAGTGATTAATGTCTTTAGTTCGGTGAAAAATTCATCGTCGTAACCAAACAAGCCATGGCCTTGACCACGAAGCTTCGACAAACTCAATCCAGCTTCAGAAAGCATCGAATCCACCATCACTTTGATAGATAAACCACCGAAATCAGGGTCTGGCACAACACCGAGAAGCCTCTCCACCACATCACCCTCGCCATTGAGATAGCGCACAAACAGGACCATACAGGACATAATCGTGCTAGGTATATGAATTGTATCGACAAATATCCCATAGAAATCTCCCTGGACCACACCGCCGACACCTTTTCTTGTTTCCTTAGCAAATGCATGTGCAATATCCTTGTCGAGGGTGGGTGTCATCGTCCACATCCGACCGGGAGCATTCTGCTGGGAAATACCAGGATCCTGAAACATCATGTCTACCATGGAGCCTGACATGTCCACAATCATCCTCTCTGCAAAAGATCTCCCCGACCCATTGTCTAGGTAAGGCATCCCTTCTCTGAAGACAAACCTCATGAGGTCAATTGCCCGATGAATGTCAACCTTCTTAGGAGATGGACCATCGAGTCTCCTCCATAACAACATCACCGGCATACGCGACTGATGATGATTCGATCTTCCTCTTGCGAGATGGACCTAGCAGAAGGTCCTCCATGACGACATCAGCTGCATGTGCGCCTGAATATTCATCCGAATCTGACGGCTCCATATCCTAACCACCAAGCCAAAGCACAATAAGTCCCAAGCAAATTCCCATGAACACAAAAGCAAGAAGCCTGAAATTTTATAATTATACACTTTTTTGAGAGGATAATTATACACCTTATATGTGGGAAGGAATCACAAAAAAAAAATGAACAACGACATTCATCAGAGTATGTACATTGGCGCATATGTAAGCATGAATCACAAATATCTTGTACCTACTATTAGGGCTGGGAATCACAACAACTGAAGAACGAGATTCAACGATGCAGTTTACCATTTGCAAAACCAAAACCCTACCAAGGAGCACTCCCTTAATAATTTTTTCACGGCAAAAACCTTAGAA